GTTGGGAATATTACCTACCCTAAATAGAACTGAAGCAATCAACAGCTAAAAGTAAGATTAAGACTTTACAGAGTGTTATTGGTAAAAGACAAAAAAAAAAAATTATTTTAAAGTAGCCAAAACATGAGCTGTTTATTGATTAATTAACTAATTCTGGAGACTTATATTATATAGCTCTGGAGTTTTCATGGTTCAGTGCTCATGTTCATCAATATAAAGTTATTGAGACAGTGAGACAAATTTGGCCTATTCTACTTCTCTGTGCTGCTACGCTGAGAGGGAAGACCTGGAAAAAAAGGTTGTCACGCCCCTTTTTCCCCAGTTTTTTTTTTATAAACATTCAAAAATATCTCATTTACTGTTTCCGAGTTTTTCGTCAAAAACTCTTTTTGTGTCTGTAGCAAAATTGGTACGAAATATCAAAAACATTTTTTCCTGGCTTTAAAGTTTGATTTTGGAGGTTTTTTCCACAGTTTTGTGACAGTTTGCTAAAGCTCTTATTCACTTGAGAGATTTTAAATGGGATTGCTCTTGTCAACATCAAAATGATTAAAGTTTTAGGCCTATTAATGTGACATGATGGCTAGTCTTGAGTTTACATTTAATCAGTAATGGATGATAGAAAATAGCATGGATTAATTGAGAGGAAGATATGCCTCTTACTTTCAATTGATTAGGCTTTTACGTTTGCTTTCATGCTGGATTAGCTCCCCATCACGATGCTCTAACTGAAGTCGATGTACCACTTTTCTCAGCGATTGTAACACATGGTCAAAGCTTATCCAACGTCATTATTATATGTTCTCATTCCTTAATGAAAAATATTCCCTCATAGCCAAGAAACATTTACTTACTTTATTCAAGTTATCTACTTACCTGTCAAAGATGTTTAGTCTCATTTTGCTAATAATGCCTCCACTTAATAAAGATTTTTTTCTTTTTTTTAAAGATTAATTTTTTTGTTTTTCTACTTCAAAATGTCTCAAGTTTTTACCGGTTTCTCAACAATGGAGACGATTGTTCATTCATTACATTTGAAATCGCGTGGTCTCATTTGGTATCGTTTACTGACAAAATATTTCTTTTCAGTTTGGGAATTGTTTCATCGGACATGATTTAATGTCATAAGCCATGTTCTCAGAATTGTACCATAAATGCATGAATTTTCTGATCTATTTTTAGCGTCTCAGTTGTCTAACTGACAGACCTAGGCCTACCAGGCCTATAAAAATTATTCCCAAAAGATTATTCCATCACTTTTTCGAATCCCAGATTGTTTTAGTATTTTTCTAGGTTCTATTTGCATTGTTATTATTACTATTTGACAAGAGAAGAAATGACTATATTCTGATGGGTGGAAAGTTGAAATGGTGATGGTGTGATGGTATTAATTGCAAATATTAGTGCATGAAATGCAATTTATTACAGTTTTGTCCTGCCAACCATCGAAGATGATAAAAAAAGCATATAAAACTAAAACAGTATTCAATAGAGTGTACTTCTGCCCGTGCCACATACTCAGGCACATGCAGGACGTTCGTGTGATTCCATTATTTTCATTTTGGCTCTGGGATAGGGGATAAGTTACTGGACAATTGTTCACATTTTTGTGTGCTTAACCTAAAGTTCCTTTTAATGCCAAAATTTAATCAACTTTTTCTTAGAACAATATGTACCACTCCGCTAAATAATTCTATGATGATCCATTCTAGTTTTTCTGTAATCAACAGACAGACAGACAATCAGCGATGAACCTCCTAGGTAAAGGTACTAACCTCTTTCTCTCACCACCTTGTAGGGTGAATGACTATCTAATCATTTTTTATGGGACCTCTGATCTAAGAGAAACCCTCTGGGGAAACCTTAAAATTGGTAGATCATTGAATGATGCATGTACAACAATTTGCGTGTGACTTCTTGGTATTTCTCACGTTAACTAGCTGCGAGTCAAGGCTCATTCTGCTGCTTACGTTGTCAGTATGGGGTTCTACCTGAAGGCTCTCTTGGAATACTAAAAAATGTTGTAAACATTGTCTGGGAATTTGTTAACCCCTACCCTACTTAAATATACAGACATATTCATATTTTTATAGCAAAATTACTGTCTGTCCGTCGTGTGTGGTGTGTGTTTCCTTCCGGGCACATAACTCAAACACTACTGGACAGATTTACTTCAAATATTTACACATTGACAATGTTATTACAATCCTCCTTAAATTTGGTGCTGATCAGAAGATGCAGATATTAGAATGTTATTTATGTTTTTTGGCCGCAACAGCTGACAGCCAAATCAAGCGGGTTGTTTAGCCTTGTTTGGCGAAGCTGAGTGGTCTAGAGCGGATCAATCGTGGGCCAGAGTGGGATGATTCAAATTCTGGGCGACACACTCGAAGTGATCCGGCCGGCGTACAAACTCGCCCGATTGATGGGCTTGTCACGCGAGGCCTATGATGAAGCCGTCTGGTCAGTCTGCAATGAAATGGTGCAACAGGGCGAGAGTTTGTAATCTCAGATTATCTTGTTATTACACCTACGTGACCTGTAGAACTTATGTTCAATATAATTTATCATGGCAATCCATTAACAGGATGCAAATAAATCGGTTTCAAAAAGTAAGCCAGTTACAAGTTCCTTAATTTTTTTAAGGATCTTTTAACGTTTATAGATATGTATTTGTTATTAATCTTAACACTTATCAACTTACGATATACAACATCAGTTTGCAATCAAAATGTAATTTGTCATAGAATTTTGGAATGTTGATGATGAATTTAACAATATGGATTTAAGTTTTTTTTTTTTTTTATTTTATGCAATAGGTATTTAGTTTATTTTTCCACATTATGCTTTTAGCTATAAAGTTGGTAACTGATTTTGTTATTACTAAATGTTCATTTTTTGACGTTAAACTTGCATGCATTCACTGTTACTAGCCTATTGGCCTAGTTTCATCGACAGACAAAAATCAAAAAAGGAATTACTACATAGAACATTATGGATAAACAATATTTAAATTACTATATAAATGGTAATATTTCTTAAACCAATGTCATATATATAGAATGATTCATTGGTGTTTGTTTAATAAAAGTAAATCTTTTGGTTTAAATGTTTTGCTTTAGCTGTATAAAACTTTGTAGAATTAAGTCAATCAAAGCCACCTACATTAATCAAAGATGTCGTTTTTCAGCTAAATTATAATAAAAGGAATAGAATTTATGTTAATTAAGATTCTGGCCCCATCAAATGCAGGCAAAACATTGAAATAGGCTGGACAAGAAATGCACAACAGATCCATAATGGCCTAGTAACGAGTGTGTAATGACGAATTGCGGTCATTAAGTTACATAAAGTATAGTATACAGTCCTCATTAACTACTCTAGCTTGTTACCAATGATTCATAAAGACTTAAGCGATGATAGCTTCGCTGTCCACACCAATTAATGACTACGTCTGTGATATTCTTATTATCTGCTTTGAACACGACTTTGCCGCATTTCAGATCCATTTGCAATACAGATCAACAGGCTTGGTACTAATGATTTCTCAAAGCTAGAGAAATGACTTAAAATCCCTAGCTTCTAAGAAATGGAATATCAGGTTCTTTTTTTTATATCAAAGATATTTCGGTCATTTTCTGCTGTTTAATATTGTTCAATAGTGGTAATAAATGCTATGACAGTAACGTCTCCCAATTACGTACCCCTCCATCCTAACAAGTTCGTAATTGAGAAAATTTGTAATTCAGAGAGTTCAAATTTTTATAGCGTCTCTGTGTTTTGAGGGTAGGCCTAGGTCTATGCTACAAAGCTCAGGGATAGGTACTGTAGGCCCAAGCCTTGCCATGAGATCAAAATTTTGTCACGAAAAATGACTTGGATTTTACTGTTTTCTGCAACAAAATACATTACAGAAGCCAAAATTACCTGTGCTCAAAGTGAGGTAATCATTTAAAATGATTTCCAAATGAAACACAAATGTAATGCTGTCCTACTTGTAGGTGATAATCCCATTCACAAGACAAACATACACACGCGATGTTTTACCCAAACTAAATTTCAATATGAGGTTTAGGGAGTGGAGTTGTTTTGGTCACGAGAAAAATCCTACAACACCAACAGGAATTGAACTCAGGCAGTGGCATATCTGGAAGTCTTGAAATGGGGGTGCTGATGGGTGGCGCTAAGGTGAAGTGGGGGAGCTCCATGATAAGTTGAAGGACGATAACTGGCAAAATAAGGTGATTTTTAACTACTTGCCAGTGATTTTTTTTAGGGGCGACTGGGTGGGGGCGAGTAATTTTTGGAGGGGCGTGCACCCCCTTAGATACGTATTTTACGAGTTAGCCCCCCTGAACTGACCATCGAGGATCCCCCCCCACCCATTTCACCTTCTAGACTTCTAGATACACCACTGCTCAGTTTTGAGGTTTTATTAGTTTCTGCGAGATCTGCTAAATTACTTATGATAAACAATATTCAATATAATTCCTAAGTTGTCACTTTAGGAGATCTGGTTTTAGGAACTCGCTTATACTCTATTAACACAAGAAGTATGAACATTTGCAGTGCAACTCTGAGTCAACTTCAAATATTAACTGGGAACAAAACAGTCGTTTTGATTTTGCCATAAATGAGCCAATATAATACAGTACTGTAAGTGCAATTGTTGCATGCAGTAAATCGGGGATGCTAAGTGCCAACTGGTGTCCATTAAGTTGGATCAAATTATTTTAATGGTTGTAGTCCAAGTATCTTGGACTTAAAATTGCGTCAAAGCCCTTCATAAGCATACTGGTACTGTACAAAACAGTTTCAGAAAAGTTGTTACTCATCCTTTTATTAAAATTTTTTTAATGCAATTTTTGTTTAATTTATATTTGATTCTGATGGTATGTGGTAAATTTATTCCTTTAAAATTATTTTTAATACATAATAATTAAATATTGTAGAATATTTTAAAATTACTTAATATAATATACTTCAATTGTATTTTTCAGATGGTCTTGGTGGTTGTACTTTTTATCACGGTACTCATCAACATTTTCTTTATCGCAGACACAGGGAAACGTTTACGAGAACAAGGTGTTGTAGAAGGTAAGCCATATCAGTCGGGAAATTAGAATATTTGAAAAGGAAATGCATATTAATTATTCGGTAACTTTCAACTGCTTTGTCTTCAACATCGAGAACAGATTTAATGATTTATTTGATTCGGTTTTTTTTTTTCTAGCCAACGTCCATGTGACACATGATCTTAACCCTTTAGAATGTAACACGTCATTGCAGGTGCGAGAATTCTCGTTGAAAAAACGCTTAAATTAAATGAAATCAGTGAATTATATGGAAGGAGCTTTAATTTACGATTGCGCTGCTAGATTGTTCGTGTTTATTACATTGAAGCTGAGTGGATAACGTATGCATTTAATGAATTTAAAGTCTAATATAATTCGAGTAATATTATAGGTTTCACGCCAACGTAAATTTGGTTTAGTGCCAAAATAGTAAATGTAGGGTGCTTATGTCGTTTATCTGTCTTAACACGTCTGAAACAAGAAATAATGAGATTCTGTTCCATACACCGAACCAGTTATGAGTTATCTTGTGAGACATCTTTGTGTAGTTTGTGAAGTATTATGGGGAAACTAGAAAAAAAAATTATTTTTGAAATTCTTACCTGGATACATTTAACCAATTATTGCCTATTCTCTTTTCTATTGTGTGAACATTTCTTGAAAATAAAATGGAATAAGGCTCCTGGCACCATGCCGGTAGTAGCCCTAGCAGGGGTCCACTGGGTACAAGATTCTTATTGGGGAACCCTGAACCCCCTCAGGAAAGAAACCAATTATCATTATGAATTTCTTGGCATCTAGAGTTGCCTATTCTTAAAATTTTCTTCCACTATGGTAGGGCTCAGGTGGTTATGAAACCTGCCAGGGATGTTGGACCTCTCGCCGGCGAACATGGATTCCTTTTCAATCTAGTACCGCCACTGCATGCATGAACATCCCAGCAGCCGATACTACTGTAACACATCCTTATTCTTTTTTCAGAAACAGTGTAATAGAACACATTGATTTATCATAACAGAAGCCTTCCGTTGTCTACAAAAAATTATTCACATTACCTCCGTTAGTTAGACTCATTGGCAAATGTCATGTTTGTCATCATCATCCTCACCACAAGTGACGAGTCGAGCTTATTAGGGAGCCAGATTCCCGCGAACTTTTTGTTTTCTAGATGCCCGTAAACAACCTCAATTTTTTTTTTCTTTTTCAACTTTCCAAAAGTGGGGGATGGGGGAGAAGGGGGCCAGGCCCCCCCACTCTAAATCAGCCCCTGAACATAACAGAGGATGTAGAGTATTTTGTTTCGACGTTAGTGAGGATGATGATGATTCTAAATTAAAAATTTGAAAGCATCCTAATGAGAAGTATTTATAGACGTCAAGTAATAACAAGTCTTCGCATGTATTATTGATTCTGTAAAAGCAAGCCAATTTCCTCCATTGATGTCTTAATTAACTATCACTATCTTTCCGCCATTTGCTTATTTAAGATAATTAACAACCTAAGTGCCTAGAATAGATATCAGCCTTTAAGTATTGACCTGATTCTACACTCTACATTCCTTATTTGCTCATCTGATTGAACACTTTTTAGTCCCTTGCCCTACTTCACTGTCCCCCTACACCCCCTTTCCCAACTTTCAATGTACTTTGCCCTGGTCATAGGAGCAGCTTTCCTTCCCATTAAAAAGTGTAGCTTTCACCAAGTAAACCAGTTACTCCCCATATCCCCCCCCCCCCCATTGAAAGGTGGGCATCTTAAAGCTGTTTAGTTTTCAACCAATCACCAGCAAATCTCACTACCAAAAACATTTCAAGTATTTCACTGTTTTGGAATTTCTGCAGATAGCAACTCAATCGAAACATCAAGATATTCTCTACCAACAACAAAAGTTCTTTTCAGAACTATTTACATGATGTACAGTACCGCAAGCATTAATATACAGTGTATTATATTATTATAGTCCTTAATTAGTCCAAGCATTAATATACAGTGTATTATATTATTATAGTCCTTAATTAGTCCAAGCATTAATATACAGTATATTATATTATTATAGTCCTTTGCCATGAAAACCTTCAAATAACATATTAAAACTACTATGCATTCCTCTATAGTTGCTGTATCTTCCTCACTTACAGGAATGCCTTGTTTACAATTTGGTTACTATTGTATCTGCTACTTACAGTTATTTTTTAGATAATTTTCATCCATCTTTGCTTGTAATGTTTGAATTCAAGGTTACAGAATATATATTATGATAGATAACCGACAGCTGTATATTTGCAAATGCTTTGATTCACTTAGGATATGAGTGATCTGTATTAAATGGAGGAGGTATGTTTAGTGGGTAGGCTTCTTATTAGGCTCTGCAGAAATATTTAATATTTATTTTTAATCCTGTCTGTAATTTGCCATGATCATGAAGCAGAGAAGTGGATTCCCCCATATTTTCATATTTCAGTTCTACACACCTTGTTCAAGACTTTAGAGATTATTTTCCTATTCCAATTCACTTTTCCCTATAATACCCTTCTCATGTATTTTTACATGGCCATAGAGCAGCAGGAGGGACAATTAAGAGTATCCCTCCAATTTTATCCCTCTGCAATAAAATGTGCAGTCATTATTAATACCAAGAATGAGGTTTCTATGAATATCTTTTAATGATTTCAACCAGTAAACTCTGGTATTGAAAGGTGGAGATCTAAACGCCAAGTTATAATTGCTGTCGCATTCATTGCTACTTTCATATATTTCAAGATGCCTTGTTTACTTGTTGGTTTACTCTCTGCTATTTAATGTACAGTGGTTATGTTAGATAATTTTTATCATCTTTGCAATGATGTATCAAAAGTCAAGGTTCAGAATATGAATCATGATAGATATCCAACAGCTGTCGAATTTTGCAAATGTTGTGATTTTAATACTTAGGATATAAGTATATTATTATTATTTAATATTATATGCAGTGGGTATAATTAGTGGGTATTTTGCTCTAAATATTTCACCCACTTTCAAAAATTATTTTTGTACTAAAAATATATAGAATACAAAAAAAATAAGATTCTGTAGGACTACAGTATCTATTTAGGTAATGTGCAGATATTTGTGGTATGGTAATTAGCTATTCTTGGCATGTGACTACTATACATAGGGCTACTTCAGCGAGATACTGTTTTTACTACTTAATATAAAGTAGGCCTTCCGTGCAATACTACCTTCAGATCTTAACTAAAAGTACTTTCATGTCTACTGCAAAGCTAATTTGCTGATTTTCAACCATTAGCATTTTATTAGACACTAGAAAATTACAGATATTCATAATTATTATTTATTTTTATTTGTTAGCTAAATTTTAGATTTTTATGATTTTCTATAAGAAATATAAACTTTGATACACATACCTGTGGTTCTAGGTAAATCTATAATAATCTTTAAAAATTTAGAAGATAATAATGAATTGCTTTTATACAATGTACAGTATATCAGTTTACAAAGTTTTGTCTTTCAATCGGAAAAAAATTTAGAATAATATAGGAACAATTTCTAGTTTACTTCAGTGTTATTTCAGTAGTTGCTTTATATTACAAATTTATAGTACTATTATTAACATAGATTTCAATAGAGAATGAATTCATATTACAGTCTCTACCTTGTTCTTATTTTAAAAAACGTGAAGGAGATTAAAAGGAATTGTAGTAAAATCTTTAGTTTATTCATATTTCCAGTTTTGTTTGGAAATGTTTGCTTGGCCTTGATGTTAATAGCAACATTGTGAAATAATCTCAGATAAAACTCTGTAAAAATAAGTATTTCTTTGTGAAAACAGAAGTCATTTAACTCTTGTTTTTTAACAATTTAGTCATAATGAAAATGACCTTCGAGGCGCAAAAGCATAATAATGGAGACTTATATATGTGGTATTATTTCTTTAGATGGAATGAGATTTTTATCTGGGATGTTTAATTTCAATGATTGCTTTGACTCTACCAAAACAAAATACAGTATAGCAATCATTTGGAAGCGAGTCACTTGAATGAATTTTATTGATGTATTAAATTATACAATTCAGTAAAGAAAAAAGCTATTGAATGAATGAATTCAAAACAGTTCATTAATTATCTGCATTATTTTATTTTAGAGAACCAAAGTTCTCATTCGTTAAACTTTCTTTGAGATTGATCCAAATGTGTCTTCTCTCTTGATCTCTATTTGGATATGAAATATTTATTTAAATTTTAAAGCCATACTTCTTTCATCCAAATAGACCAAGTTCTGTCCATTTCTATAAGCTACAGTATGAGGAAAGTTTATTGGATCAATTACCGAAACCTTCATCTCGAAGTACCCTAGATATCAATTTAATTATGCACCAAGTTGTCATCTGTTTACTTCCTTGGGAAGGTAAAAGTTCATTGGATGCAGTGAAAGTGTTGACAGATCTGTCACTGAGGTTCATTAGAATTTCGTGGGGTATCATATTATATCAGCAAATAGTATAATGTTGCAGTACATGGTCATAGCATCATGTTCAACTTAATTTTAACTTTATGCCATTTTGAATTATTTCTTTACTTTCAATTCATAGTAGTTTTTATAATTTAAAACTTGAACTATTAACAGTATGCTTCTTATTCATTACATATTAAGGCAGACCTAGAATGACTTTACCCATAACCCTTAAAAAAAGACCTTAAATCACTCATCAATAACAAACACAACCTAAAATTACAATCAATTAACGATCTCTACACCATCAAAGCTCTTGCAAAAGATAAGTCATGCTGGAAAGACCTCATCCGCAACCTTACTAAAGCAGCCCAGGCGGAGAAGTCAGAAGACTACACAGCGTAGAGGCAATAAGTAAGTCTATAGTCATTACAGATACAATAAGTTTAGGCCTAATTTTTTTACTTTTTTTTTGCAATATAACTTTTCCTACTGTTTATATTTTAAATCCACTTGCAATTTGGCTCAAGGCCACAAGATCTCAATTCTAATGTGTTTTTGAAATATGTTTCC